GCAATTCTCGCTTTTTGAGAAGTCAAACAGTTTAAACTTTGACTAAAGTTATATAAAAAGAGTACTAACATTCATTATACAAAATAAGTACCATTAGACTTGTTATATAATATATTTTCATACTAAATTTATTTGGAGACATAAATGCTAATATTATTATTTACTATAAATTTGATCAAAGATGAGCTAGTTTGACCGATACGGGTCCCATAATTGTATTCTTTTGTGGATGGAGAGAGTATTAATTTTAATAATTGAATGTTGATACATATAAAACTTCCTGTTATAACTTGAATTAATAAGCTACTTACTCCGGCGGTTGTTGATAATTCCCTTGGGTGCAGAGATTTTAGATTAGTTCGCGCTCTCATAGGACAATTATTGGTAGATCAAGTATAGCGACCTTCATGTGTTGTCCATGTCAGGATATCGTTTCTGGTGACAACATGGCATACAAGAACGACAAATCAATCGGCATGATCTCGCCCATGGTTTCAGCCGGCTTTTTAGCCGAACCGAGGCTTATTCTCTCACACCAGGAAAACCACCGGCCGAACAGGGTAGCCGGCAGCGATCCGATCATCTCTTCTTCTATTCCATTCCATACATAGAAGTGCCATATATGTGGGGCATGGTCGCCATGAACTTTCTTCATTGTCATGTCACGCCGTGTGGTGGTCAGACATGGCTTTCTCAGAGCGCGTTCCAGCCGTACGGATATGGCACGCCTCGGTGGCGACCGGCGCGTCGAAGGCCCGCTCAGGCCACACAACGCGTGCAAGGCCTGGGCGGAGCGAAATCGGGGGGGCCAAGCCCGGCAACGCTCCGGTACTTCACACAAGGCGGGGGCGCGGGCTTGCGCAGCGCAGCGGGCCTGTCGGGCGAGGACTGCCGCTCAGGCACCTGGCAACAAGGCCGACCAGCTCGCGTGGCAGATTCGGCCCTAAGCTACCTCTCTTTTGCTCGCTGATTCGGCCCGGCGTCTTATTTGATCTTGCCATCTTGGTGTTGCAGATTCGCGGTAGGTGGTTCAGACCAAGCATGCAGACTCGGAGGTGTTGGTGCACTGATTGTTGGTTAATCACAATTAATTAATTAATTCATAACCAATCAGGAGGTGAGAGGTTTGCATTTTTTTTCCATTTCGCTGAATTCACTCATCGGGGGTTTTGAAAACCATGACAAACAAAAGATGGCTATCAGGTTTTTCCTGGATGTGTTAGGGCATGTACAACCCAGAGACAGGTGTTCGTCTCTAAGCGCCTTAAATCTATCATACAGACAGGGAACCCACAGACAAGGGGTCCGTCTCTAAACTGTTTAATTCTTTACATGTAGTTAGGATCAACTATAAATAAATTTTTGTATACCATTATGTGGCTATTTGATAGAAAATGTATTAAGGATAAATAAGAGCAAATTTTTCAATCACCCCTTCAGCAAATTTTCCCAAAATCCCCTTCAGCAAGCAATTTAGTATGACCTCCAGTAAGCAGGCGTCACTTCCTGCTAAATCAACAAATTTTTGGCCAGATGGAAGAAATGAAAAAGTCCACATGGAACAATGGAACAATGTACTATACTTTGAGATATGTGGTAAGACTGTCTCCAATGGATCTAACCCAAAAACAAGACGCATTCCCCGTTTAGGTGGTGCACAGTGAAAAGGTCAGTGACCCATAAACTCCCTCCTCCAACCGTCGGGCGCAGTAGAGCGTCCTCTTCCCTTCCTCCTCTCGCGAGCCCCGCCGCCTCTTCCCTTCCTCCTCTCGCAAGCCCGCCGATGGGAGCGCCTCCCTCCCCACCGAGCAGATCCCGCCTCCCTCCCCGCCGAGCCGCCCAGCGTCGAGACATATTGATTTCTTCCTCCTTCTGCTAGATCCTGTGCGCTACGCGGCCGCGGCCAACTCGCTAGAGAGCTCCCGTCGCGGTGTGCCTGAGACGAGCAGGGAAGGGAGCCGAGCCGGGAGGCGCGCGGACCTCCATCGTGGCCGCCCCGGCGCCGTCAAGACGCGCGCGCGCCGCGCCCGCGCTTTTGCGGACCTCAGCGCGGCCGCCGCCATGCATGCGCCCGCCGCTGCGGCGGAGCTCAGTGGCCGCCCCACACCACCGCCACGCGTGCGCTTGGCCGCCGTCACCACCTCGCTCGCCTAGCCACCGACACGGAGCTGTCGCGCGGCCGCCGAGCAGAAGTCGCTCATGGCAAAGAAGGCGCGCTTGCGCTTCATGGCAGCGGAAAGAAGATAGTCGCTCTCTTTCGCTCATCGGCGGAGAGCCCATCGGGAGCCCGTCGTGCGGCATGGATTCGACTCCACACGGACGGGCCAAGCGCTCCACCGACCTCCATCGCCCCGCCCCTGTGTGCCGGGCCCGCGGTCGGTCTCCTCCTCTCTCTCTGTGTTTTGCGTCGTGCCGAGAACGAGGACGCTTTTTTGGCTTCCGACATCGCTGCTACGCAAAATGGCGGGCTTGAATGCGTCCTCCGTTGGATCGTGAGTTTGGGACGTAAAAACACTGTTGATGATGCATTTTGTGTTTGGGTCGTGTTTTGCGTGCGTAGTTGGAGACAGTCTAAGAAAATACAGCATACATATCCATACCACACAAGTCAGAAGGGTGCTCGAGTTGCAATAGCTGATAGGACAAACAATCCTGTGGATCGACATCGACCGCCAGTCGGGAGCTCACCCGCATGGCTCCCGTGCGCCGTGGCGGAGCGATGGAGGTCGCCTAAGCGGTTCACGGCGGCCGGGCGGAGCTTCGCCCGTCGCGCAGCTCGTGGTGCGATGGAGCTGGCCTGTAGCGCTCGCGGCGGCGGCGGAGGCGGAGGTCGCCTTGCGCTCGCGCTGCTGCGGGCTTTCGCGGCGGTCATGGGCGAGGTCGCCACCTTGCGCAGCTTCGGGCGCTGGCGGAGGTTGCCGCGCAAGCCCATGGCGCGGCAGAAGCTTCGACCGCGCCGCGCATGGCAACCGAGGCGCCGCAACAACATCCGCGCCCGCTGCGCTGAATACGATTCCGCGTGTGCCCACGCGGGATCCGCATCATTCGTCGAGTTGAGAAGACGACTCCTACAACGCTGCTTCATCCGGCGATTCGGTCTCGGAGCACGGGCCCTCGCCGTCGACAGGGCAGCCGTCTCCAAGTGAAACGAGGGTGTTTTTCGCAAAAACGGTGACGAAGAGACTAGGGAAGAGACTGCATTGTACGTGCCCTAAGCCCATTCACCTAATATCTGCTAGTTGTGTAATAGCAGCGTGTGTGATTGTACTACTAACTTATCGGTGAAGAAAGTTAATGAGAATATATGCGTGTGTAATAGTAGCCCTGTTCGTTTGAACTTATCAGTCATGATACGGTATTTTTCTCTCACACTAAAACAGCATCAGCTGGCTTATCAGCCGCAGAAACTACCAGCCAAACAGGTTTGCCTTATTTGTAATGCTGCATGTTGTCAAATTGACTTATTGTATAATGGATGTTGTTGTCATGTTGTAGGAACTCAAAATAATTAGGACATGAATTCAGTAGTCTATGCAAAAAATAAAGAACCAGAACAATATTGGGAATAAAAAAGAAGCGAAAAACGAGGAACCAACGACCAACGGTCTGACAAAAGTGATAAAAATTGACGCAGCAAGGAAACAGAGAGGCATGACTCAAAAAACCAAAGGAGGGGCATGTCTTTTTTTTGCTTTAGATTAGACTTAACATCGTTAGAGGTAGGGATGAAAACCGGAAAAACTCGTCCCGTCTTCTATATTTGTCCCGTCAGTTTTTGTATTTGTGTGATTACGTTTTCGTATTTGTGGTAATAGAAGATGGTGTTTTCGGTCTCTTTTTTTGATCTCGTTTTAAGATGGACCTGTATCCCTTTTTCAATCTATGCTTGATATGCGTAACAATCACGTGTCCTTGATTTATGTTAATACGCCTATTAATCATCAAATATGCATGTAACATGTTAACACACATGACATGCAAGTGAATATTAGATTGATCTTTATATGTGTATAATATTGTGTGACTTTATACATGTATACTTGAGAATATTAGATTATGTGATCTTAATTTAATTTTCTGGCTCTTCGTCCGTATCTGTTTGTTTTTCAGATGTCCGCATATCCCGATTCTGTTTTCGATCCTAGCTTTTTGAACCCAACCCTGCTTCCGTAAAAAAGATATGGAAAAGGAAACGGGAGAGAGGTTTCCATGTTGTTTCCGTCCATTTTTATCTCTAGTTAGAGACCTGAAATCACGTAAGTGTCAGTTACTCCCTTCCTTCCATACTGAAATATAAGGAACCAAGGGTTTAAAATCTGTACAAAAGCATAAGATATTCTAGGTCCTCAGCTCTTCTATCCCCTTTCCTTTTAAGTACAACTTATCTTCCCTTCTAATTCTTGGCAAGAAATAATACCATGTAAATATTTCTTTTAAACTAGGAAAGCAATAACCGAACTACTCACACTCTCCTAATTAGTGAGGGGGTAATGCGGTATTTTGCCAAGCTCTTTATTTTGTTTGATTGAAAATGTCTTCGATTCCTTGTATTTCAGGACGGAGGGAGTATAGGAAAGAAAAGATAAAATATATGACATATATAAAAAAAGATTTTGAATTTAGGTGCTAAATAGAAAAAAGAGAGTTTTTGTGGTGTCATACACAGAATTTTCTGTTGAACAAAAAGTCGTAAAAGAGCATGCTTCAAAAAAAATAAGAAAGGAAGTCGTAAAAGAGCATGGCTGACGTGGCACAAGCCTCACCTGCTCCGCACCGCACCAAGTCCCTGACACGGGGGGCCGGACTTGCAATGGGAACCCGTCAGCGTCAGTGTTCCACGGGCCATCAGTGGATAGACGGACTACCAGAAATGTCCGTCGTCCTCTTTCGTCTCCTCTCCTTTCCCCACTCTTCTCCCTAAAACCCTCCCAAAACCACGCGCTCATCCGATCCGCACCCACCCATTGATCCGCTCCCCCCACCACCTGCGCGATCTCGCCATGGACGACGCGCACCACCACCTCCGCCCGCGCCACGCCGCCGGGGGCCGCGTGGTCCGCGTCCGCTTCGCCGATTCCGACGCCACCGATTCTGACTCCGACGAATGCCACCGCCAGCGCCACCGCCTCCTCCACCAGATCGGCCAGCCGCTCCCCTCGTCCCCCGCCCCGAAAAGGAACCGCCTTGGCGACCGGCCGTTCCGCGGCGTGCGGCGGCGGCCGTGGGGCAAGTACGCGGCGGAGATCCGCGACCCGGGGCTCGCGGGGAAGCGCCGCTGGCTCGGCACCTTCGACACCGCCGAGGAGGCCGCCGCCGTCTACGACGCCGCCGCGCTCCGCATCCGCGGCCGCCACGCCGTCACCAACTTCCCCTCCTCCCCCGGCGCCGTCGCGCCGGCGCCTGCCCTCGCCGCTCCTCCCGCTCCGTCCCCGGCACCTGAGGCCGAGACCTCCTCGGCGTCCACGGTGGTCGACGCCGGCGCTGGCGGCGACGACGAGGTCACCGGGGTGCCGCCGCCACCGCCGTCGTGGTTCGGGGAGGGCGGCCCGCAGGAGCTCTTGGACTTCGGCCTGCCCCCCGCGGCGGCGAAGCGGGGCCAGTGGGAGGAGGAGTTCGGCGATCTGGGTGACCTCGACCACCTCTTCGACCTGCCTCTCTGACCCACCAATTTTGCCCTCTGAAAATGGGACGGGACGCCGGTGAGAATTTTCTGTTTATAGTATAGTTGGAATCGAAATGAAATCCAGAGATCAAAAATCTTGTTTTTGTTTGCGCGGCGGTGACCGGTGAGCGGTCAGTGAGTGAGCAATTCAGTTTTGATTATCTGACGAGTTGTTTTGAGAGCGCATTGTTTCTGGCTAGTATGAGAAATCATGCAGAAATGCAATTATTATAAATTTATCTCCAATGATGAAATTCGATAGGTCAGTGCAATGCAACAGCTTTTGTATGACGACTGATCTGTCGTCGGATCATTTGCCTTGGCAAACAAAAAGATGGGTGTAAATAGTGTAAATAAATTCAGTAATTCAGCAAAATGCCTTTTATCAGTCGTCAGTGTCCAACACTGGTCAGTTCTTTCATCTTCAGTGATCAGTTTAAACTGGACACTGGATCTCACACCAGAGATCGCGAATACAAGCGTGCCAATTTCTAGATGTCAGCTCGCAGAATTAGCTATGTTCACCGAGGTAGCAATAACCTCAAGTTTGTTGTACACATCACCACTGACAGAGTCAGATTAGTAGTAGTACAAATCATTGTGCCGACAGTTCACTGTCGCCTCATCTTCCTGTATGCTGTTCGTTTTCGACACGCTGGACGCTGTAGTACAGCAGCTGCAGGTCACAACATTATAGGGAACCCAACCCAAATTGCCCAATCCTGCCTCCCCAGAACCCTGCTACACCTACACTTGTGCATCATCTGCTTGCACTTGTTTTAGCGTTGGTGATGAATTCATAAGGGCACCTGCAGTGGCTGACTCATAAGACAGCAGCTCTAAGTATTTTTTTCTTCATATTTTAATAGAAGAGAGAGAAGAGTTAGTTCTTACCAAGAGCTAGGCTTATACACATATTCTAAGATCACGTGAGAGTGTCATGTGAGCCTAATCATACTATAAGACATTGCTAAAAGCTTGCACTGGTGGAGAGGTGGGCTTATAGAGCCAGTAACTGACTTATACCGTTGCGGATGTCCGAGGCATGTGAAAAGCGACACCTAATGATTCAGTGCAAGCATGGAACCCAAGCAAAAGGAAGATGCAGCACTAGAGCACTATGGTGGATTTTTTTAACACTTTTTTAAACTATTTTTAAAACTGACACTGTTTTTTTCTTCAAAACTAACACTTTTGGACGCGCCAACTGACATGGTGCGGCCAAACCACTCTACCGCGCTATGCATGGCGGCGCGGCGAGTCTGCCACCGTGGCAGCGACCCGGGCGCTGACCGGTGACGTGGCCCCGCTCTGCTATGCCATAGGTCACGGCGCGGCGGACCTGCCGCGCCATAGATCACGGCGCGTCACCGAAGCGTCATCACGCACGGCGCGGCGTTGCAGGCACTCGCTTACCTTTCTCTTCTCTCTCTCTCTCTCTCTCTCTCTCTCTCTCTCTCTCTCTCTCTCGGGCCGTTTGAAGCATAGGCACGCCCGCCACCGTGCCGCGCCACTGCCGCGGTCGTCGGCACGCCAAGCACACCCGCCGCCCGGGCCCGCCAGCTGCGCCACGCACGCCCGCCGTCGGTCGTCATGCCACGCACGGCCGCTGCGCCCGCCACCGCCCTCACTGTCGTGCCACGCACGCCGCCGCGCCACCGCCGCACCATGCACGCCTGTTGCCCGCCACCGCCCTCACTGTCGCGCCTCCGCCCTCACTGCTGCACCCGCCACTGCCGCCGCCGCCCTCACTGTCGCGTCGCCGTTGTACACCGCTCCCCACTGTCGCTCGCCCCTCTCTCTATCCCGCGTCCGCCCGCCGCCGCAGAGTCCAGCGCCCGCGCCTCCCCTCGAGCCACCCGCCTCTCGGGCCGGTCTAGCACGCCACCACCGCAAGGACGAGCGCACGCCGCTGACGTGAGGACGAGCGCCGCCGCCGCGAGGACGAGAGCACGCTGTTTCCGGGAGTTACTACCCTTGTGTATTTGTTGATTGAATCGAAATTTTTGTTACTTAGGGTTAAGATGCAAAATTAGTTTGAATGATTAGTTAGTATAGTTAGTATAGTAAGTTAGTACAATAATTGAAGTTAGTATAGTTAGTAAAGTATAGTTAGTAAAGTTAGTTAGTTTAGTTAGTATAGGTAGTATAGTAAGTTAGTATAGTTAGTAAAGTTAGTTTAGTTAGTACAGTTAGTGAGTCTAGTTAGTTATTGTATTTAGTATAATTAGTTGTTGTAGTTAGTCTTGTATAGGTGTTAATATTAGATTAGTTAGTATAATTATAGTTAGAATAGGTATTAATATTACTATGGATAGTACGTACGACGATTTCGATGACCTGATGAAGTTTCTAAAACGCTTTTGTAGATGGATTATTGTGTTAGAGTTTTCTACGGAGGAAGTGTTAGGAGAGAAGATGGTATATTTGAGGATATGAAAGAAGAATTGGAATGGTTTGATGAACCTCCTAGCTTCAACGACCTTTGTGTCCGTTTGAATGTAAAGTTTGATGGTGATTTCACACTGAAGGGGAGGTTTGATACTGGAAAGACTAGGGCACACTATGTCCTGATGCCCTTGCGCGACCCTGCTCACTGGTCCCGCTACAATAGGGTGCTCCAAGGTTCCAATGTGCCCATGACTGAGGTGGTGGTGGAGAATGGGTACAGGATGCAGGGTGTCCTGGACGGGCTGTCCATTAACGGTGTTGGAGGCAATGAGCAAGAATTAGGGGTCGAAGGGGAATCAACTTAGGGTAACATGGATTTGGACGGTCAGTTGATGTAGGAGCAGTTTCATTCAAGTCAAGTAGGCTGTATAAGCAATAACTTCGATGTGAATGAGTTCGAATTGGAAGAGGAGGAGCAGGAGGAGGACATGATCGGTGATGTAGTTAGCAGTGATTCGGACGATTCAGATGATGACCAGGGAGGTAGACATGCTATGCCCACACTGGTTGATGCCATGCCAGTACCTATTTATGGTATGCCATTACCAGTATCAACTGAGGTTTTACATGCTATCCAGGCTCAGGGTAGACTAGTTAAAGATTTGCCAGCAGATGATACCCCTATGATTCATGGGGTAGAATTAGCGAAGCGCAGCAGTATGTTCCACCACCACCTTACATAACGACTGAGCTTGAGCAACTAAGGTCGATGAACGTACCTTTCAGGGGCGTTTCGAACTATAGGGATGTCAGCATGACGGATATGACAGTTTGTGACACAGGTCTCCAGATGTGTAGAAAATCATTGTATGACCATGAGAAAGAAATCCTTAGTAAGGGGATGATATTCAACACAATGTTAGAGATGAAGTTCTTCCTTCAGGGCTATGCTGTGTATCACCATAGGCCGTACATCGTCACTTATTCAGACCAGGAGTTGAGGTACCACGTGATATGCAAAAACGGTTGTATGTGGAGGTTAAATGCACGAAAGAGACAGAATGATGGCAAGTGGAGGATAAGCAAAGTGGTCGAACCCCACACTTGCCTAACAAATAGGGGGAAGGAAAATCATCAGCAGCTCACTGCACGTTACTTTGCCCGTTGTATATTGGGGCTTGTTGATGACAATAACAATATTTCGGTGTCTTCGTTACAATAGTCCATATCTAGATTCATTAAGTATGATGTGAAGTACGGAAAGGCTTGGCATGCTAAGCAAATTGCCCTAGCGATTCGTTGGGGTAGTTGGGAGGAAGCGTACAACAGGGTGCCCCGTATCTTATGTGCAATGCATTACTACAACCCTGGCTTTAAATGGTTTGTGGACACCGGAGGGATGTATTTTTCGGGACCCGTTGAGGCTTGTCCTCTATCGTGTGTTCTGGTCGTTTGTGCAAACGGAACATGCATTCTAGTTTTGTCGGCCAGTCGTACTTGTTGATGGCACTTTCCTGATAGGAAAGTATAGGGGCACCTTGATGATGGCTGCTGCTATTGATCCTGAGGACCAGATAGTACCCATGGCTTTTGCTTTGGCAGAGGGAGAGAAAAATAAATCGTGGTCATGGTTCATGTGGCTTCTACGTGTACAAGTGCTTAGCTCATCTCGCACTATATGTTTGATCTCGGACCATCACCCAGGGCTTCTTAATGCTGCAGCTGAGCATATAGATGGGTTCCCGCCTTTAGTGCATAGATGGTGCATGAGACACTTTGCCGTTAATTTCTGGCGACGTCAGAGGAAGGAGGTATGTGACAAGGTAAAGGCTCTATGTTGTATACGTACAGAGCACCAGTTTAAGGAGACAAAGAGAGAACTAGACAAGATGCTAAATGAAGTGGGAAAGGCCTGGTTAGAGGCGCAGATGGAATAGAAGGCTAAGTGGGTGTTAGCATATGACGAGAGGGTTTCATGTATGGCATCATGACCACTAACTCCTCGGAGTCTTTCAACCGTGTATTCACCGGAGTTCGATCGTTGCCTGTGTCTAGAATTGTTGAGTTCTCCTTTCATAAGTGCAACGAATATTTTGTCTAGAGGTGGGAACTTATGCAGAGGAATATAGCTGAGCAGGGGTGTTTTGGAAAGGCCGGAGCAGAACATTTGAAGGAGGCCAAGGAATTGCCCAAGCAGCACACCGCCGAGCCGTATGGACCCCGCCGCCATATCTTTAGTGTATAGGGCACAGGTGGCACAAGCTTGGGCGGCGAACGTTACGGTGGACGAAACTACAGAGTTGATCTTGAAAAATTATAGTGCAGTTGCAACGTCCCTCAGATCATGCATGCCCCTTGCTCTCATATAATCACGGCCTACAGGGTTCGCGGGTATAACTATGAGGATCTGTCATATATGTCACCCTTGTATCTCCGTTCGAACACCGTTAGTATTTGGGAGAGGAGCTTCGAGTCATACCTTGACCCGACACAGTGGTCACCTTACCATGGTTATGACTACGTGCCGTATCCGGATCTAATAAAGGTAGGTAAGGGTAGGAGGAAGAAGAAACGACTCAAGGGGGACATGGACGCTATGAGAGGGTA